TTCTGCATATATCCTTCCTCCTGTCTTCGTTTGTAGTAATACAGTCGGTTGTAAATTGCCAACTGTTCTCTTATCCATCGCTATCTTGGACGTGGTGGCAGCGTTTGTGAAGACGCCACTTGGAAGGGCGGCTTCAGACCCGGTTGTGGTTGCGCAACCACCCAGGCTTCTAGAAGCCCTTGGCGTTTCAGTTAAACTGGAATTGTGGGGACTCCTACGTGCTCTCTATGGCTTACGAGAGGCTCCACTGTTGTGGGGAAACTTCCGTGACGATACGTTGCGGACGTTGAAGACTCCTCGTGGGCTGGTCTGGAAGCAGGGGAAAGCTATTACGTCGTGGTGGTCTATACTGGACGGCAATGGACATGTTACAGCTTTGGTTGTAGTGTACGTAGACGACTTTATGATATGTGGACCAAGGGAGATTGTCGAGGAGCTAGGCAGTGCAGTGCAGCAGGTGTGGGAGACTTCGGAGTTGGCTTTCTTGGGTCCAGACAATTCGATAAGGTTCCTCGGAATGGAGCTGCAAAGAGAGTCTGAGAATGCCAGAGAAATCCTGGTGCTTCAACAGGGATATCTTCAGGAGCTCATGCGGACCCATGACATGAAGTCCACACACCTTGACAAGATTCCCATCACAAAGGAGCTATCAATTGTTCCAGAAGTACCAGAGCCTACCAACCCAGACTTGATCCGGGCTGCGCAACAGATTACTGGAGAAGTGCTCTGGGTGGCCCAGCGCACACGTCCAGATTTGTCGTTTGCAACATGCATCATGGCTACACTATGCACCAGATGTCCCACCCAAACGCTGAGTATTGGAAAAAAGGTCCTCGGGTACTTGCAGCGTACCAGTGGCTACGGGCTGGTGGTGTGTTGGCAAGAGGTCGGCCTCCTTATGTACTCTGACGCGTCATTTGCGCCACAGGGATGTCGTTCCCACGGAGGCTGGGTGGTAATGTTCGGCGGTGTGCCAGTATCATGGAGGAGTCGGCGGCAAAGTATGATTACGCTTAGTACCGCCGAGGCGGAGCTTCTGGCGTTGCTAGAAGGAGCAGTCGCGGCAAAGAGCACAGAGGCCATCCTTGCGGACATCGGGGAAAAGGTTCATGAGCGTACGATTGCCACGGACTCCACATCCGCGTTGAGTATAACCACAGGTTCGAGCAGTTGGAGAACGCGTCACCTACGGATAAAAGCAGGGTGGTTGCAAGAGCAGATAGATGGCGGCTTCTTCAAGGTGATTCACTGGCCTGGCGAGAAGCAGCCAGCAGATCTCCTTACCAAGGCTCTTAGCTCTGCGCGGCTAGAAGACCTACTACAATGGTGGAGCATTGGAGAGCGACGAGTCACAGTACGACGTCCGTCAACAGCAGTGAAGGTTTCGGCACGATCGCTGTTGGCAGCGATTTGCTGCTTGTTAATGGTGTCGGTGCAGGCAGGTGGGGGAGAGCAACGTGTACATGGATCTGGCCTGCAAGTCGACGGGGACATGGCAAGCTTGATGATGATCCTGCTGATGATCCTTGGAGTACTACTGATCTACGAAGTTGTGAAGTGGTCAATGGCGGAGATATGCAATGAATGGATCCCAGGAGCTGGAGCACGGCGTCTTCGGAGACTACAGAAGCTACAGGTGGCGACTACGGCGGCCATTGAGCGCGAGTTGGAAAGGATCCAGGAGACTGGCAGCTTAGCGAGGGAGTCATCCACTGGGCAACAGGAAGATCAGCCTACAGCAAGAGCTTCATCGTCTACAGCCGTGTCAACTCGACGAGAAGAAGGCGAGAATGGTGGAAGGAGACAAAGCTCGACAATAAGGCCAAGTCGACAGAGTGGTACAGGTAGCTATGCAGATGGACAAGGACCGATTCGGGCCTCTCGTCGACCTGTTGATGATCAAGGAGATTGGCTACCTACTCAGAGGTCTTCTACCCCGATAAGACGATCGACTACCAGAACCCCAAGTCCATCGACTCGTGTGATGTTTCCTTTGAATTCACCAACAACATGGTCACCACAGAGTGCTATAAGTCAAAATAATGAAGAGGAGAACCTACGGGTGTGCCACGATGTGAGCATGTTGATGACTTGTGAGAATCTACGGGAGGGTCTCCTATCTGAAGGTCTTCCTCTTTCAGGTCCAAAGGAGGACCGAGCTCGACGTCTTGGTGGACGACTTGGTGAATTGATGCAGCATCCTACAGGGCCTACTCTCAAGCAGCTGAAGTATGTGCTTTGGTTGTCGTCGAGGACGAAAGACTTGAGTGGAAGGCACATGCTTCGTTACCATGAGATTAATGATCGCTCGAGAGCTGCCTGGAAGCAGCGATGAGCAGGCCTCCCCTAACGGAGGGCCAGAGGAGGAGTGCAGAAAGACGTCACCCTCTGATGCTTGTTTGGCTTAAGAGCGGCTACGAACAAAGCTCTTGGGTCATTTGATGAGTATGCTCTGTAGTCGCTGATGGTTGCACCATAGGCACAACCCTTGTACAATAAGTGCCTTAGAGAACCACGAACAGCTTTTGGCTACAGGTGTTGCTGTGTGGAAAAAGATTCAACTTACCTCTGCGCGCTTAGCCATGGAGGGCTTAGCATAAGCCGTGGAGGTCGACCAGGACAGAACTGCTTTATCGCAGTTTTCTAGGTCTAGGGTTTAGGGTTTAGGGTTTAGGGTTTAGGGTTTAGGGTTTAGGGTTTAGGGTTTAGGGTTGCGGTTTGTGAAAGAAGCCTTCATGGCCTCCCCTTTGACGACGGCCCCCGATACAGTCACGTTCTATATTAGGGAAACTCTTACAGGCCTTCTGTATCGTTTAGGGTTTAGAGTTTAGGATTGTACATCATATTCAACTGTTACAGCCAGTATCCCTAAACCCTAAACCCTAAACCCTATGCGCTAAACGTATCCTAGCCTGGCTTTGTATCATTCCCAGGATGCTCCCTTAGGGCTTTAGGGTTTAGGATTTAGGGGTTTAGGGTTTAGGGTTTAGGGTTTAGGGGTTTAGGGGTTTAGAGTTTAGGGCTTCAGGTTTGGGCTTACGCACAACATGCCACGGCACAGGGTGAGCAGCAGGAAGAAACCGGTGAATCTGCCGCTGGTCACCTGGACGCTTCTTCTTGAGGCGGTTTGTGGTTTTGGCGGTTTAGGGTTTAGGGTTTAGGGTTTAAGGTTTAGGGTTTAGGGGTTTAGGGTTTAGGGTTTAGGGTTTAGGGGGGAATGTCCGAAAACAGGGGGGTCCTAATGTAGCACCCTAAACAGTAGGACCCTTATCATAAGGACCCCGAAATAAGGCACCCTAATTTTTGGAAACTCCCATTTACAGCATATAAGGTTTTGAGTTGAGGTTTAGAAGTTTGGGGTTTTGGGATGTAGAGCCTAACCCTAAACCCTAAACCCAAAACCCTTAACGGTTTTGAGTTGGGGTTTAGAAGTTGGGGGTAGAGAGAACCCTAGACCCTAAACCCTAAACCCTAAAGCCTGAACCCTAAACCCTAAACCCTGAACCCTAAGACTTGGGGTTTACGACCTATCGCTGATGCCGAAATCTTCAGTGCTCAGGGCCTTCGAGCTCCGGTGCAAGTGAACCCTAAACCGGAGCCATTCTCACGGTTTGGAGTTTAGGGCAACCTAAACCCTAGGGTTTAGGGGTTTAGGGTTTAGGGGTTTAGGGGTTTAGGGGTTTAGGGGTTTAGGGGTTTAGGGTTTAGGGGTTTAGGGTTAAACCCTGAACCCTAAATCCGGTTTGGGGGTTAGAATATAGGGCCCTCAACCCTGAACCCCTAAACTCTCACTCAGGCTTCGGGATTGCTGTGAAGACGTGCCGGGCGGCTATGCGGAACATCCGTCCGGTCTTCCCCACGAAAACGGAAAAGTCCTGAGGCCACGTTGTCGAATTAGGGTATGGGGGTTGGAGGTTTTAGGGTTGTGGGGGCATTTGGGATTTTTGGGGTGGCTTATAGAGTTGTTTAAGGGTTTCAGGGCGTTGGATCTCGCCTTTACCTTCGCGAGCGATTCACAGGGCCATGGTCTGAGGGTTCAGGGTTAGGGGGGTTTAGGGGCAGGGCTTGGAGTGTAGGGTTAGGACTGAAGGTTTAGAGCTTAGGTTCAGAGTTTGTGTTTCAGGGTTCTCTCAGACGAGGAAAACACCGAAAAACCATACCCTGCAGAACCTACACACTAATCCGGGTCAAAACTTACTGTACCCTAAACCCTAAACCCTAAACCCTAAAACCCTAAACCCTAAACCCTAGCCTGGGGACTCACTGTTGGCAAAACCAGGTCTGAATCTCCGAAACCGAAACAAGGCTCCCCGCAGCAACTTTGGCATAAAGATCGGTGTTGAATTTTTGTTAGTCCACTAGGGTTTAGGGTTTAGGGTTCAGGGTCTAGGGGCCAGACAGACGATCTAATACACGTTTTCACCCTAACAAAAATCTCCCTTACAGTGTGTCAGATGGGACTAGTGTAGTGTAGGCATGGTAGTGGGACTGCTATTGCAAGGCCCCGAACGCACGGAGTTTCCAGACGTTCAGGACCAGGTCCACTTCCCTAGCTGTTCCATCGCCGGCAAACCCTAAATCCCGAAATTCCATATTCTGAATATTAGACTCGCAACCCCCTAAAACCTCAGTCCCAAACCCAAAAAACCCAAGCGCCTAACCCCTAAACCCTAAACTGCCCTAAACCCTAAACCCCTAACTGAACAAATCCCACCCTCAACTCAACACCTCATCTCCCCAAAGCCCTGTGAGCACGATCTGCACGCAGCTGTCCTGCGAAAAGTCCTTGTCGGTCTCATTGGAGCCCGTCTCAGCGATCAGAGGCTTACAGGGCGCCGGATTGAGGATGGGGGCTTAGGGTTTAGGTTTGGAGGCCCAGGGTCTAGGGTTTAGGGTCTAGGGTTTAGGGTTTAGGGTTTAGGGTTTAGGGTTTAGGGTTTAGGGTTTGGGTCTGTTGTAGGACATTGTACATAGGATTAGTTGGGGCTTCGGGTTCAGTGTTTGAATTTCCCCGTCACCTACCGGAACCTACTTCTTACAGTCCCAAAACGCTCATTTGTGGACCTAGGGCCCTATGGTAGAATCACGAAGCATGTGTTTAGGGCTGAATTGTACATAGTTTTGGAGGCTTAGGGTTTACAGTGTCAGGTGTTTAGGTTTCGGGCAGAAGAGATCCATTCCATGGCCTCCCGCTTAGAATACTAGAGAAACAATCAAGATGTTCCTGCAATGCACCAAGAACCCTAAACGTCAAACCCTAATCCAGAGCCAACCTTAAACCCCAAACCCTAAACCCGGTGATCCCTGCTCCTTCAATCCCCGAATTCCTTACACCATCATAGACTTCATAAACCTAACCCTAAACCCTAAACTCCAAACCCTAAACCCTAAACCCTAACCCTAAACCCTAAACCCTCAAGCTCTCACACACAAATCATATAGAAGCCTCCTCGAACTCTGAGACAGCAATCACAGCGCCTGATGAAAACCCTGAGCCCTAAACCACTCATGCACTAAATTCGCTGTGAGATGCCAAGCGACAGCCCGAATAATCCCAGTTTTTTCAGGGTTTTGGGTCTCGGGTTTTGTGGCTCTGGGGTTTAGTGATCCGGGGTGTAGGGTCTACTGCCTTATGGTTTAGGGCATGGGTCCGTTTAGGTTTTGCGGGGCTTAGGGTTTGGAGGGGTTTGGTTTCTGGGTCTCCCTGCCCGAGGTTTAGCACTGAGGTAGGGCCCTCATGGTTAATTGATGTAGAGGCTTTGATAATCAGAATAAGGTTTTGGGCCCCATTATACTATATGAAATATGAAAAGGAACCCATAAAACCCTAAACCCTAAACCCTAAACCCAAAAAACTAGTATAGGCAATTACTAAGGCCCCATATACTACGTGTTGGGCTTGTGGCTTTGCGTGGATCGCAGGGGAAGACGCGAAGAGCCAGGCGTAACCCGAGGGAGACCAGGGCGTAGGGACTGGAGGAGATGACACCAGCATCTACCCAGGTTGAAGGGTTTAGGGTTTAGGGTTTAGGGTTTAGGGGTTTAGGGTTTAGGGTTTAGGGTTTAGGGTTTTAGGGTTTAGGGATTAGGGGTTTAGGGGTTGAGGGTTTAGGGGTTAGGGTTTAGGAGGCCGCTATATTGAGGCTCAGGCCTTCGTACCTAAACCTTGACTCAAAAGCCAAAACCCAAACCCACGCCCTAAGCCCCCAAACCCCGGCATAAACTTGCAACCCTGAGCCCCAAAGCCTAAACCGAAAGCAAAAAGGCCCAAACCCAAAGCCCCTGGAGCCCTAAACCCTAAACCGATAACCTCAAAACCCCAAGCTCCCAAAGTCCCTGAACCTGAAGTTCCGAAGTTCTTGCAACCCGAAGTTCCTAAGTCCCTGACCCCTAAACACCCCAAACCCTAAACCC